GTATCGAAATTGGTGTTTTTCGCAAAACTGCAATGGAAACACTTTTTTCACATCACAGGAGTCACGTGATCAACAACCGTCTGTTTCTACTGGTGAAAAAGACGACCAAGAAGATAACAGGAAGTTGAAGTATTAGTAATATCACAGAAGTAGTATTAAATAGTAAACTCAGCGACTACAATTTCCCAAAAACACAGCATACGTAGCCGCTKCCAAGTAGGGACTTGTCTCTGGAAAGCCTCGATAAAAGACGCCGACGTCTCCTCTGATGATGAGCGCTAGTGTCGTGGTAGCAACATGCTATGTGTTTACATCCATCGCTGCCATGTTTGTAATGACTTATCATGAGAACAAACGTATTCACGCGTGACTTTAATAGCATTTCTTACTTAATGGAAACACTGCAGTTGCGAAACTGTTTTTTGACATTAACAGAATATCGACGAAGTTTTGCGCACATTTGTAATGGAAACACAGCTAGTGTAATTACCTGTTAAGATGATGCTTGAGTCCAAGCTGGCAGATGTTAAATGTTTTGTTCCCTGCTTAATCAAATTTAGAGAAAGTGTGACATGAATCACAAACAGATTGTTAGCCTTTAACGTTTCCCCTGCGTTACGTGAACTTTAAGGGAATTGGTATTCACTGCACCTGTGGTCTTCAGGCTCCTCGGTGGTCTCACTGCAGCAGCAGCATTGTGCAGATGGACTGGTGTTGACCAACCCTCACAACCATGAATTGAATCAGGATGATTCATGCTTCTTCAGCTTCTCATAGTTAAAGAATTGATCATTACTTTTATCATTTCTTCAGCTAAAGCTATAAAAACAAGGAATAACAGTCAAATTTAAAATGTAAACTTGAGCAAATATTCAAATTAATACGTAAAATTTATTTTGGTTTTCTTAAATGAATCATAATGTTTAACCCCCTAACCGTCTTTGTTCCACCAGTGGGAATGAAACGATTTGGTTTATGCCTTTAAACATTTCCTGACATTTCCAGATGCTAACTGTGGCTTTTTTTTTTTTTTTTTTGAAAACGAAGTTGTCAGGTGACTTACTCTGTTTTTTTACCGGAGCTTGATATCCTTACAAATTAGTGATTTGACGTTCACAAACGATCCAAATCTTTTGAACGACTCTTTACAATGGAACGATAGGAGCCGAATCGTGGGCAGTAACGAGTCATTTGTAGTTTTATTTATTTTATTCCTTATATAATCTTTATTGTTTCATCCTTAAATCGCTCCTGCTTTGCTTTTTCTTGGAAAACAGGCCGAGCGGTGGCATACAGAAGCTCACGGGAACTGGGGAGGGGGGTTTCCGCTTGACAAACACATGGTTCCACCCACGTAACATGATGACATCATCACGCCATCATACGTGATGACGTAACTCGTTCAAACGAACGGCTCTTTTGAACGGCTCTATGAAACAAATGGCTCCCCAAGATCCGGATCCCTTCAAAGAGCCATTTATCCCATCACCATTACAAAAGATAAAAAAATGTCAAAGGGCCTTAAAGGAATTTTAGGGCCAACTGCTAAGGGGTTAATGTAGTACCAGTGTGTGTCCGCTTTCTGCCATTTAATCACAAAAGATGAACAAGTTGATATAAAAGCTGAAGCAAAGGAAAGGAATCCCTCATGTTCATTGGTTGATTGTAGTATTTGAACTGAATTCAGGGACTTGTGTGTTTATGTAACTAAAGAGTACACACATGTTTTACACACTTGTGATGTTTCCATGGATACATGCAGATGTAGTGTTGTATAAATACCAGATGTCTAAGAATGACAGGGACATTAAGTCACTGCAGCTAGGCTGTGATGTCACTGAGTGTGAGGGGACAGGTGCTGTCTGTCGTCACACAGCAGACCAGAGATACAGTTAGCACACACACCCTGCTCTAACAGGACAACTGGTGCACACACAACAACAGCTTCATCTGTGTCCTTCAGTCAAACAGCCTCACTGTCTCCATGTCCTCACTGCCCCTCTGAACAGGTTCAGTTCTGAGAAGTCACAGCGTCATGGACAGGAAGAATATCTGCAGCTTTAAATTAGAAACCTGCTCTTGCCCAGAGGCACAGTAGTAGTGCAGTGTAGTGTTAACTTAATCAGACCCACACACAGTGTCAGGCTGTTGTGTTTGTTTATCTGGCTGCAGCTCCAGATCACTTCCTCCTGCTGTCTCCCTCTTGTCTATAAACCTGCTGTTTAAAATCAATCAGCTGGAGTCATTTCAAGAGGTGTGCACGGCTCGTCTTTTTACAACAAGTTCATATAATGTGTGTAAAGCTGTGAACAACTGGAAATAAATACTGATGATGTTGTTTTCTATTTTTAGTCTGCAGGTTTTAAAGCTTTCTCTGCTCCAACGCTCCTGATGTGAATGAACATGTGATTAACTTCTGCAGAACATGAAAAGATCATTCCAGAATTATAAAGTAACTAAGTACAAATACTTTGTTACTGTACTTAAGTATAATTTTTGTTTATCTGTACTTTACCTGAGTAATAATTTTTCAGCCTGCTTTTTACTTCTACTTCTTACATTTTTTTAAAAACTCAATAAGTAGAAAGTTTACTTTCATTTAATTTCTGCTTGTTTTCATTGCAGCTTGTTGTTGTAAAAAATAAAAACTATCCATATAAACTGAGCCTCCTAGATAGAGTGAATTTAACTGTGGTTGAATGAGAAGTATAAATATATAAAACTCTGATAGTGTATTAGTTTGTACACAAACAAATCATGTCACACTCCAGCAGGACAGAATCATTCAAATCAAAGGACTGTACTTAAGAAGTATTTGTATTTCATGATGTAATGAATGGAGTACTGAGTCTCACTG